CTTTGTTTTGGACCCAGGTGCACGGTGAAGCAACGCCATCTAAACCGCAAACAACGCGAGTGAAATGTAATCTGAGATATTCACTTATTGGTAATCTGCTGAAGAAAAACAACAGAATACTGTTAAAATGTATAATCATACAAATACATACAATCAGCGTGTTTAATAGGGAAAACGTACACATCGTCTCGTTTATCTGCGGCGCTGTTTTCCTTCTTTCCTCCATAACGGAGCATCGCTTCCTGCTGGATTCTTCATCTCCCGACTCTCTCTGCGTGCTCTGGCAGTCTCAACGTGATATCTGGGATTTAATCACTCATCAAAAGTATTCTCATAAAGTAGGTTGTTCGATAGATTTCTATGACTAATGTCCAATTCACCAAGATGGTGATCACAGAGTGTGCACTAGTTAAATGCAGATATAATCATCAAGCAATGATGAGGCCAGGTGAGTATTTTTTTTTCTTAAATTAACTGGCAGAGATGGGCTGTATGTGTGTGGTTCTACAACAAATCAAAAAATATATGAATTACAATCCAATGTAAACACAAATGATAACATTATTAGGCCACATCTTAAGGCTACATATCCAATCCAATCCAATTTTATTTATAAAGCGCATTCACAAGGCATTACAACTAAACAAGGCGCTGTACACTAAAATACACATATATTACAAGCCTTCCTACTAGGCCCAACCCCGGCTTTCCACAGGAGCTGTCAGCAGCACGTTACTGCAGCAGCACATCATAGCTGCTGATAGGAACCGCAGTGGTCAACAGAACCTTTTCCACCGGAGCCGTCAGCAGCGCGAGTCGGCCGCATCTCAGGAGCAGCATGTTGCGGTCCTTACGCGCCGGTTCTATTTTCTACGCGCGACGCCTCTGAAACGGGTCAAGTTCGACATTTTGGGGGAAGGAAAGACAGGAAATCGGACGCGGAAACGGAGAGAAGCTTCCGAGATTTTCAGAATAAAGAAATGTACTGCCTTCCGGTTGCTTTACTTTTAAAAACAGTTACAAAATGTGCAGCCCCGTGAGAAGTTATCACCTAGCTAGCGGTCTCCTTTGTTTTTCAGGTCCGTATTGGCGATTATAAAACGGACAGAACATAAAACACAAACCTTTTGGAGCCATGTTGTAGTTTTCTCCTGCTTGTTGTTGTGTTTACTGATGAAGTCACTCGTGTGACTTCGTGCTCGGTCGGTGACAGCTGCTCCCCTGCTGCTTCGCGTCTCGTGGGAAGGGCCAAGCAGCAGCTTACGCGAGCAAGACGTGCTGCTGCAATAACGTGATGCTGACGGCTCCTGTGGAAAGCCGGGGCAAAGCAGATATATATAGCATTAGCTATATTGATAATAAAGAGAAATAAAACATTCATTCCCACAATACCAAATCACTCTAGTCTACTGTTTCAATCACTTATAATGGTAAATAACAAAAAATGCCACCAAACAAGATAATTATCACCAACTCAAGTCAAAACCTAGCTTACCGTAGCCACAGCTCCTCTTAAGTAAGGTAAGTAAACAGAAAATGTCCACAGCAATGAACTAACAATCTCTCTTCCTTAAAACTGATAGATATTATCACTCACCAGTCTTAAGGACACACACTCATATTAACACACCCATTAACAGATTCCCAAACGTAACTTCTGCTGTTTCTTCATGAACACTGCCAGCTTAACTGAATATTACTCAAACATCCACGCCCTCATGTGGCCAGACAAAGAACTGCACCTAAGTCTAACTTTCAGAACACAGGTAATGAGCACAGTCGCCTCCTGAAGCCTGATTCATGCTTCTCCGTCTGCGTCAGTGCAGAGACACGCAACGTCCTTGCGGGCCTGCTGGAGAGCTCCGCAAGGACGGACGGAGTCGAGCTCTCTTTTCTAAACATCCGTCAGTCGAGACGGACAACGCAAGCTTGTGATTGGTCAGGACGCAGCTGTCGTCTACACTGCCGCCATTGCGCCCTCAAAAACATAAAGAGAGCCGAGGATAACTAGCGGCAGACACGGAGAAGCTTGAAGAATACCTCGCGAAAAAACTCTAAAATATGAACGTTTAATTCCCCCGTGACTGGAGGAGTGAGAAGATGCGCAGCAAGCGTTTAATTTGTGGACGGAAATGACAGGAAACGTGGGTTTAGAGGTGGCGAGCGCATGAAGACGTGGAGGAGAATGAGAGACTAATTTGTCTGTGTTAAAAAGTCTCATATACAAAAAACACAATATAAACACACTGTCTTGGACCGATACATGACAGGATACCACAGAACAGCGCTACGCCCTCTGTTGTCCTACCGGGGAATTGCTTTGCAACGCTCTCCAGGAGACGGAGAAGTATGAGAGCGAAACGCTGCCGTCAATCCGTGCGTGTCTGTCCCTTGCGGAGCTGACGGAGAAGCATGAACCAGGCTTGAGCCCTGTTAGCTTAGCCCTGAGCTAATTTTCTGCTTTTGTAATTCCAGCTCTTAATTAACACGTCACCCTGTTGCGAACGGTTTCATCATACCCGCCTCCAAAAGGTTCCTGAGCACTGCGACCACAATCTGAAAAGGTTCCTATGGTAGGGATAGTTCTGGGAACTAAAATCTAGGAGGATGGTTCTAGGAACTTAGTTCCTAGAACTATGCAGTCGGAAAGCGCCTATTGACTCCTCCACACAGCATAGATGTAGAAGAGTAGACGCTGCACCAACCGCTGCTGCCTGTGTTTTGCCGCATTTGCGGGTTCTACTTTGTATAAACTTTATGGTTAACAGGATGTTTTAGCCAGGCTTTAGTTCCAGAAAAGCTCTGTGGAGATCTGGAGCTAGAACGGCGAAAGAACGCGTTCGTAAACCCGTTCACACACGCCAGGACGAACTCACTCACTTTTACATTCATCAGGCAAAATACGAGCGAGTTCAGTTCACGTTCACAAAAAAATGAATGAATTCACGAACTATCGTTCAATGAATGCGTTCGGGCACAGCATCGGTAATACAATACATTGTTTTTCACAAACAGTGAAATGGGTTCTGCACACCTGTACACAGGAAGAGTAGAACCTAAAAATAATATATACCATAATTTCCGGACTGTAGAGCGCACCTCAATATAAGCCACACCTTCTAAGGTTTTTAAAAAACATAGAACTGTACTTATATAAGCCGCACCAGGCTAAAAGCCGCAGATATCTACCGGATATCTACTGAATTGAAAACGTAGTTTAACTGAACGTAACTGAACTGATCAGTATCAAACATAACAGAAGTTATTGATTAGTTTATTCATCATTCTCCTGCGCACTGAAACCACTGAAGTCATCTTCTTCAGTGTCGGAGTTGAACAGCTTCAGAAGAGCTTCGTCACATACCTTTTCTGTGGCGATGTCAGTGTCGCTGTCCGTGTTGCTGTCATCATCCCGGGTGAAGCTGGCTTGAATGAGTTCTTCCCGCTGCCGTCTCCAGCGCAGAACCATGGATTCATTCATGCCAAGCTTACTTACTGTTTCCGTCCTTCACTGCCAGATCGATGGCCTTCAACTTAAATGCGGCATCATATGAACTCATACGTGTAGATACCATGATGAGGGGGTATGGATCATGCCGGCTGCTTGCATGTGCTAAATTAAAATGAGCACTTTCTTCGATTTCCACTTTTGACTTCCACCTGTTTCACTTTCTGCTAAAGCGCCCCCTGCAGGTGAAGGAAAATCTTCAGTAAAGCCGCACCTCATTATAAGCCGCATGGTTCAAAGCGTGGGAAAAAAGTAGCAGCTTATAGTCTGGAAAATACGGTACTCTCTTCTAAACTAAACTCTGATGTGGAAAATTAAAGAATCCATTTAACTACAAAACAAGTGGCCACAACAATATTTAACCGACAAAATCATAGGAGTTGTTCTGTCAGATAGCTATTAGCAGCATTAGCTTATTTTTGCTAATACTAGCAGGCTACCATGCTATTTATTACTCTTGAAGCTGAAAATAATCCCTAAATATACATTTTTAAACATACTTCCTTACCATATGAATAAGTTAAAATAAATTAGTCATGTTTGACTTTCAAATTGTTTGTTTTTAACGTACCGGTCATTCGGCCATATTGATTCACGTGAACTACGACAGGTGTTCTGCTCTCCGTTGTTCACCGTGGCAGAGCTCGTTCACATATCCGTAGGGGCGTGGCCTAAGGATTATACCCGACGGGAGGGGTGAGAGTTCTGGGACCGTGTTTGTGTAAGCTAGCTAGCTTGGCCTTGCTTGTTTCAATATTCGTTGCACCACCTTTAATACTGCAGGTAACTAATCAACTCACACTGGCTATCATGTTAGCGTCATTAGCCTTAGTAGATTCATCCAATATTAATGAAAACACGGGACTTCTTTCAACAGCTTTGTCAACATCTTCCACAAGTGTGTTATCAATAGCTTGCTGCATTTCTGACAGTCCTTTTTCATTGATGTAGATACCATAGCTTGATGTTTCTTTAAGTTTTTTGAAAACAGGACACTCCATTTCTTTCAGGAATTTAACCACATGGCAAAATTTAGCTTTTGCCATTTTATTTTTTGCAATAAATTATGCAGTTTTCAGGAGCCCCTTAAATTCTGCAGCAGACTGTAAATGAGTATCTTCGATAGCTTTGGCCATTACATTTTTAGCTGAATCCGCCTCACGTTTTCTTT